TTCTGTAGATGTTATTATCAAATATATTTTTTTATATCTTAAAATAATAAATTATTATTAATTATAATTTTGACGATATCCCATTATGCATAGAGATTGCAAAATCTCACATTCCGCAAATGAGGTTGGGAATTTTCACTCCAAATAGTAAATGGAGCATGGACAAGGATCGTGGATGCCGCTTCAAAATTCCCCAACCCGCTTTGGATCTTTTTGTTTTATTAAATTATGCATTATTTTTATTTTTTTTTTCAATTCAAATCGTATTAAAAAAATAAATAATTAAATAAACGAGATAAATGATGACTTTTAAGTTTTCATCCCTGTTCAGACTCCCGAACATTTTCGAAGGGGGGAGATAGCAATGACCACTTTGATCTTATTCCGTCCCAATCTCGTTGTCATCTCAAATCATACATATTAGTTTTGCACATTAAAATTGAGAACCGGTCTCCTATCGTCCAAATCTAAGACCCTGTTTAGAAAAACTTTTTTCATTTTCCACATTTTTCATTGTTTGATGGTCAAAAAGTTTTTGGGAATATTTTCTCTCCCTTCCCCTCACGCGCCCATTTTCCAGGAAATGAAGGAAAAAGTTTTCTTTTAGTTTTGGTGGGTTTCGGTTTTCCTGGTTGCGGCTTTTGTTTTGTTTTTTTTTTTTTTGGCAATTTACTATTATTGACAATTTCCATGCAAAACATGGCTTCAATTTTTATTTTTATTTTTTAACTATTACAAATTTTTCAACTTTTCGATAATTGGATTGAAAGACGCAAAAAGTTATTTACCAACTTATTGGCCCACTAATTTATAGTGGCCATCTCCAAGAATTTTATTGTTAATTTTCTATGTGGGATGGTAAGAATTCCTTTAGTTTGGTGGTAGTGTATTGCATTTTTGGTTTGATTGTAATTTATTGTAAATTTAGTTTGACTGTAGTGTATTGTATTATTGTATAAAAGGTTATTTATAGTTTATTAAGTTAATGAATCATTTTCCTTCCGTTAGCACCATTATACTATGTATTGTTTATAGTTTGAGAATATATTTATTTAGTTAAGCTATTAAAACTACATTTTGATACTGTAATTTGTATATATTATTAAATAAT